GCCTTTTGTGCTCAAATTTGAGCATCTGCAGATCCGACACACGGCCGAGATTTGGCCTGAATGAGGCAAAAACGTTTTTAACTAAACTTTTTATGTAGGCCTGTGCAACTTGGGCTTGACGATATAGCTGATTGACCGAAGTGATGAGTTTTCGTAGACGAATCGATTCGACGAAGGCTAAAGCAAAACGTCTTCACAGTGGCCAGGTGGGAGTAATAAGACTGACGGCTAATTTTTTGGATGAAAAAAATGACAAAGCTTCATAGCTTCATATTAAGAATTTGGAAAATGCTTGTCTCCACAAATCGATTGTCTTCGAACCGACGATGCAATGACCAAAATGAAGTATAGCGAAAGACGGAAAACCGTCGTAGTCAGAGAGAAATGAAGAAAGATAGAGACGGCTGAGAACGACATGGGAAGGAGGATGGCGAAGAATGACCTGAGGAAAGCGCCTGGAAGAACACTGCTTCAGACTTGGTTCATTTCCTGCAGAAGCTCCAACGAAACAGCATCGTAAATGTTGGTAACACTGCTGATTCCGTGACCCGACAGGACAAGCGATCACCAAAATTGATCAACCGACTGACAAATAGCCAAATTCAATGTTATGCACTTTGTTAACTCATCTGAAAACGGCGGTCAGCTGTTAAGCCTGGCAACATCTATACGTGGTTAAAACGGTTGCACTGAAAAGAGAGAGAAAGCCGAGTACTGTGGATAGCGATGGGGTCCGCCGCCCCTGCCTCCGCTCACGAGGGTTAAATGACAGGAATGCATGAGAAATGTCGCCATTCTCTTCGGGGCACAGGTTAGTTCAGTAGATGTGGAGACCAAGTAAAAGGGTTTGGCCCTGATAGACAAACTGGCTGAGCACAAAGCATTTTCTCCAGCCCCAGACTTGTGGGAAAGGCGAAACATGGCAAAGGTCGATGGTAGGCATTTCAGTAACTTGGAAAGCAACCTAAAAGGTGATCTGCTTTCCGTGAGAAATATTCCCCCTGCAATGCGGCAACAGATTCCATATACAAAGATATTAACAAGTTGTGAATGCAGCTTGCATCTCAAATCAGGGACGTTCTACTTAAGCTATGTACTCAAGGTGATGATATCAACAAATATGCGTACAAACACAAAATGTAGTCGCCGATGAACGCATTAAATTCTACTTGACAGAGCTTCCTTAATGAGGCAATTGTTGTTGAAGCAGCAAGTAGCATTTCTTGTTTGGCAGCAGCATGTCTTTGTAAGAGGGATGGGAAGGGGAGGCATCAACAAGTTCTTAGAAAATGAAAAACTACGTAAAGTCCTCTCGGCAAGTATGACTAATAGCATTTGCTCTCCTCACTCTAATAGAGTGAACTGAAGGGGAGAGGGGTGGTCAAAAATGAGGTTTTAGTCAGGTGAACAGAGCGCAACGTGTTGATCTTCAAACAGTTGTCTGCAATTATAAAGGCTCGTTTTCGTTCATACAATTTTTTTCGAATTAAGACAATGTTCGAAAGCATTGGTGAGATCTTGAATAATTACCATTAGCATATTATTCTTGGTATGATGAGGTATTCATTTCAAAGACGATGTTATGTTTTCGTCGAAGTAAAGAAGAATTTATACCCTGTACAACCTTGAAAATTATTACATGTTTTTCGCGAGGAACGAAGAGTAATATATATAAAGTAAATAAATAAAAGTAATTTATAGCTGAAGGTTGGCTTGTTACCAAAGGCGAAGTGAGTAAGCAACGTACAGGGAGTCTGTCCAGGATAACGTTTGAAGCGGACAAATTTGACAGCGGACTCGATTAATAGACGTTTTTTCCTCCTACAACGACGCCAAGAAAAGATGGGTCAGTC